GACTTGGCGCTTTAGAGTTTACGGTGATGACCGATTGTTCTCGAGCGAGTTGATGGTAGTGTTTTTGAGTTTGCTGTACTCAATGACCATAACCTTATTTTTGAGCTTCATCGGAGCACTGCGTCGACTTTTTCGTACGCGCCGGTATGCTCTATACTCTTAAGCTGAAGATGCACCTCGCGGACCTCAGTACGGAGCACGAGGTGCAACTATAGTGAAAGCACCTCGCGTAAGGTGTAAGTCTCCTTGTCCCTTGCTCCTAAATTAAAGGTGCACCTTAAGGAGCGTTTCTTGTGAAATAGGCCTTAGGGTTCCACTCACTGTCTGCTTCTACTCTGAGCAAAAACGAGCTTGAGAGTTCTGGAGCGAAGCGACGGGTTCTCTAACTTGGAGACTCTGAGTCAGATGAGTTTAAAGACTAAACTCAACATGGATATACAGTAAAGCCTGCATGAGGGAATGATTCGCCATCTTGATCTGCAATTCATGGAGACCCATCAGGTTTATGAAGTTCGTATCCGGAGTTCGACTTGCTACTACCCGATTAAGTACTTAAGTCCATCATCGTTTGCCCGACTCGCTTCAATCTATTCAATGCAGTGTACTATCAAGCTGAGTTTTCGACGACTCTGTTGTATCGTGTGTTCATATGACTGGACAGAGCTCAGTATAGCATACAGTCGCATGTGAATCACCATGTGCTAGCTACTATCTCATATCATCCACACTAACATGATGTTAGTAACATCTAATGATTAGATTGTGCTCCAGAGCGGGCGGCTCTGAGCGACTCTATGTTGTGTCCTTGCTATCATACGATCCGCTAGCAGAATCGTGTTCTCAAGTTACTCCGAAAGTGTTAGCTTGAGAATGAATAAGGAGCGTGGCATAGTACGGTGATTGTTGCGTAAGAAACTGGCACGGTTGAGAGCGGTCAGAATGGGCGCTTGTCTGAATATCTATGGAATGGTTTAACCGTTACGGTTACGAGTGTCACCTATTCCTCTTAATATGGTATCCGCTATGTGACTGGGTATCGAGTGCTCCAATTTCAGAGGGAATTGTCCTTGTTGGAAAAGAAATCGAAATTCTCGTGACTTACTTGAAAAAGTGGCACGCTCCGTATAACATTGATCTTTTCATCTCAACCTGAGACTTCCAAGGACGCATAGGTCTACGTTCTCGATTCAGTGCAACAAGGACATAATTTAACTGGTGTATCTTAACATATCGCTTACACCCCCGAGCGTCAGCGAGCTAGAGAACCCCGGAGCGAAGCGACGGGTTCTGCTAGTCTTGATAAATTGTAAGATTTCGAGAGGCGGATCGGCCGTGTGCAATATGAAGACGAAAGAATTTTTTCAAGGGGTAACCGGATCATCCCCACTGGTCCCAATGCTTAATCGCGGCGTGGGTATCGCTGGCTAGGAATGGTCAGATCGTCGGAACTGGGACCGCCGGGATTGCCATCACCGAGTGATGATGACTCATGCATCCCTTCTCCGAGTGTGACCGAGAACAACTCGACGGCATGAGTCCTCCCTTTTTTCAAGTGCGAACCTTACTCCATAGTGCCGACAAATTATTTATAGCCCAGTGCATGTCATCGACTCTCATATGAGGGGGCGATAGATGGGTTTGTACGATGTGTGATTTTCCGACACCATATACGGCACAATTCACTCTTGAACTTCACCACTTGTGAAATTGACCCTGCATTCTTTCTGTTGTCTTCGTTATTACAGGGGGCTAGTATTGAGCCTTCTCCCCAGCATAGGAATGTTGTATGAAAGTCCCCTAGACTCTTTTCCCCGAGAATCACTGTTCCAGTTAATGGGGTTAGGAATAAAATTCACCATGATTCGACCATGTTAAACCCTCCATTTGAATCGAGACTCCAGAAAATAACGCCACGATACACATGTGCTCGGCTCAGCGGTTTCCACTTAACAACGCAAAACTTACTCAACTCTCTGGCACTATGATTTACTAAACAACACGAGACTCACTTCTGCTTTGTTAAAGCATTTCTCATATGATGTAATCGGTACAGCAGCTACTACTATCATTCAAGAGCGAATACCCCATACACAACGAGGATTACACTCACCTGGCGAATGAGAGCAGCGACACAGAAAGTTGTATTGCGATTATGAGTACCGGATAATCTGTATATGATAGCACCACTCTAGCTCATTCATCAATTATCAACTGTAGTAATGGTAGTGCTAGAAACACCCATCCAAGGTGGTGATAGAAAAAGGAGCTTGAAGTGTACACTAGAACTCGCCTGATCACGAGGAACATGCGAGATTCACAACCCTCCCACCAGTAAAGAGAGAGCGCCTCTATAAGAGGAATTACTGGGCACCACCCTCAGCAGCACCATCTTGATCGGATGTCCAAAGAGTCAGATTGTCTCTGAGCAGCTGCATGATGAGGGTAGAATCCTTGTAGCTATCCTCGCTAACATTATCGAGCTCAGCGATGGCGTCCTCGAATGCCTTGCGAGCCATCTTGCAAGCCTCTTCGGGCTGGTTTAAGACCTCATAGTAAAATACAGAGTAGTTGAGAGCAAGGCCCAGACGGATAGGGTGGGTAACTTGCAACTCAGACTGAGCGATGTTGGTCGCATCCTTGTAGGCCTGGTCGGCGTTATTGGCGGCCTTATCTCTCTTCTCACCAGTGCTGAATTCAGCGATGTAGCGATAGTAATCACCCTTCATCTTGTAGTAGAAGACCTTGGACTCGCCGGTCTGGGAATGAGGAATGAGAGACTTGTCAAGAAGATCAAGAATTGCATCGCAGATTGTCTGGAGCTCAGCCTCAATCTTCTCTCTGTAGCCCTTAGCGATCTCAGCATTGGTCGTGTTACCCTTAGAGGTCTCCTTCTGCTCGACAGATGAGACAATCCTCCAGGAGGCACGTCGAGAGCCAACAGCATTCTTGTAGGCAACCGACAACAAGTTGCGTTCCTACATAAGAGAAGATATAAAATAACAATAGCGCTCAGACACTCGACCATATTCTCCTCAACACTTCGCTAGCCATTCCAGCCCCTCTTACCTCAACACTAAGCTCCCCTTTCTCCTCAGCCACGGCCTTCATGTACGAGGCCATCTCGTCATAACGCTCAGCCTGCTCGGCCAGCTTGGAAAGGTAAACATTCTTCTCACACTCGTTCGCCATTTTAGGTTCACTAAGACAGTAATCTGATAATAGCCTTACGCCAGAGAGCTGTTGCGAGAGAACTGCAAGTGACCCAAGATTTCAAGATTCCGAGTCAAGCACTACGTTCATCAAGCTCAAACGACGTAAATCGTAGATTTTATGCGCTAATTTAATTGCTTTATTTCCTAACACTACTACTCACTCATCTAGGAGACAGGAAATATGCTGAATACACTGTCAGGGAACTGTACGGCTAGCGCTTCAGATTGTGTCCTGGAAGCTGTCTTCACTGGCACAAATCGATGTCCCCGAAAGATTCTTATGATCATTTTGCTCGTTGCTCCAGGCTTGCAAGTGCTCTTGATGATGGAGTCTTCCTCTGTGCCACTAAAGTTAAATTTGTTCTGCTGTAATCACAAGGACTCGAAGAGCTCTGTCGCGCTATGTCGTCGAGGATGGCGTAACGTGACAGACCTCTCCTAGGAACAGGAAATTTCATGCGGTACGATGCATGTAGCGGTTTCACACTAGAAGATGAACAACCAATGGCAGCTTTGCCTCTCTCTGGCGTGGATATGCCTTCTTTTGGGGTCAGTATGCCCCGTTTTGGGGTCGGTATGCCTCGTTTTGGGGTCAGTATGCCTCGTTTTGGGGTCGGTATGCCTCGTTTTGGGGTCAGTGTGCCTCGTTTGGGGGTCAGTGTACCTCGGCTTGGCGGATGTGGCTTATTTCAGGATGAGTAGTTGGCCTCGTTCTAGGACGGATATTTTCCCCCAAGGGGGCTATGCCATGAAGCAGGTAGCCTGTGCAACAAACCATTGATGTTGCCTTCCTCGTCGTCCTTATGACAGTAGCCTTATTGCCTGAATGATGGACCACGGTCGGATATGACGCGAGCTGGGGCGGGTATGCCGCGTGCTGGGGCGGGTATACCGCGTCCTGGGACGGGTATGCCGCGTGCTGGGGCGGGTATGCCGCGTGCTGGGGCGGGTATACCGCGTCCTGGGGCGGGTATGCCGCGTGCTGGGGCGGGTATGCTGCGTGCTGGGGCGGGTATGCCGCGTGCTGGGGCGGGTATACCGCGTCCTGGGGCGGGTATGCC